GGGGAGGACGGGCTGGCTGTCAGACTATATCACCTCTTCTGCAACCCCAAACGAGAGTTAATTTGCAAACCTGAGCTAATGGCATCCTGGCCTGTATCAGAAATAGTGTGACCAGCAGAAGTAGGGAAGTGGTCGTGCCCCTGTACTCGGTGCTGGTGAGGCCACACCTTGAATACTGTGTTCAGTTTTGGGCCCCTCACTATAAGAAAGATGTTGCGTTGCTGGAACATGTCCAGAGGAGAGCAACCAAGCTGGTGAGGGGTCTGGAACACAAGTCATACGAGGAGCGGCTGAGGGAACTGGGGTTATTTAGTCTAGAGAAGAGGAGGCTGAGGGGAGACCTGATTGCCCTCTACAACTACCTGAAAGGAGGCTGTAGCGAGGTGGGGGTTGGTCTCTTCTCCCTGGTAATGGGCAATAGGACGAGGGGGAATGGTTTGAAGCTGCGCCAGGGCAGGTTTAGACTAGACATTAGGAAAAACTTCGTCACTGAAAGGGTTGTCAGGCTCTGGAATGGGCTGCCCAGGGAGGTGGTAGAGTCCTCCTCCTTGGAGGTATTTAAAAGAAGGATAGATGAGGTGCTTAGGGACATGGTTTAGTGGTGGGATGGCAGGGTTAGGTTAAAGGTTGGACTCAATGATCTCAAAGGTCTTTTCCAACCAAAGTGATTCTATGATTCTATGATTCAAACCAGGCAGTTGAATGAGATTTAGAGGTTCTCAACAGAGACCAGAGGAGAAGGACTCGTGGTTTGCTCCACCTTTCATCAGCCCTCTCTATTTCTCTGTCCATGTCATGGAAGCAGGTGGGATCAATCTCTGGGTTTGCTTTTGGGGCAGAGGGTTTGGATATGGGCATGCTGCACCCTGTAATCCTCCATTCCTATCTGAGATTTCAAGAGGATTTGCATCTTCCATCTTTTCCACTTTTTCTCCTCCTCCTCCAATGTTTTTTTCATCCTTGAACAGAGGGCGGATTTGACTGTCCTCCTGCCATGAGTACCCTGGATACTTGGCTGATACCTGAACAAACACTTAAACTTTTGTGGGAAAAGGCGCTCTCCTGCTTGGCAGGGAGCTCTTCCGGGTCCTGAGCTAAAATGTTTGACGTGGTAAAATTTGTTAGAAAAACACAAAACATTTCCAGTCTCGATGTGTCTGAGGGTGCCTGAGTGAGTCAGGCTGGGTGCTTCATATGGGTTGTTCCCATTCTGGTTGTGAGAAGATGTGTTAGGAGCTGCATGTTTGAGCGGAGCTGGAAGGTTTTGGGTGTGTGACCCCTGCCTTGGAGCAGGCTGTGACTGATTCTCTTTTCTCATTTTTCTTATTACAGAGCCTAAAGGCAAACAAAGAGGCTGAAATCTCTTGTGAATGTGAGGCTGGAGGCACCAAGGTATGGTGGCCTCCCTCTTCCCTATGTGTAATGTATTGGCAAGTCGTCAGGAGAGGATATGGTACAGAGCCTCTGGGATTTGCAGGGGGATGTAGGAGGATGCCGTGGTGCTAACATCCCTGGATTGAGTTTGTGACAGGGGAGTCATGCTGCTTGATCCCTGTCATCCTTGTTGTGTCAGTGACATTGTCCTTACGGGGATGAATACAGATACAGGGGCCTGGTCCTCACAGTATTCTTTCACAAATAGTTGTGGGGAGGCTGTTTTTAGCGTGGCTGATGTGTGCTATGTTTTTATCTGGAAGCCTGACCTACCTTTTAGCTTCTGGCAAATGCCCAGCCCTTCCTTCGGCGTGGCTGAGGCTCAAGTCCAGGCCCTCCCAGAGGAGGTGAGAACAGGAGGTGACACTTTGCTCAACCAGCGTTTGGCTGAAGGAGCTGAGGAAGGAGGTGAGCAGGGAAAGGCTGGGAACCGGCTTGTTGAAAGAGAGATGGGCAGTGAGATCCAAGAGTCAAAGGAAGTGACTGTCAAAAGTAAGCTTTGCCTCTCCTAGACAGCAGGCATTGGTCCTGAGCTGGCATACCCCAGCATGGCTGCATTTTCTTGGGGACGCAGATGGTTTGCCTTGGAGAGGAACTGGTCTGTAGTGTCTGAGTGAGGCAGGGTTAGGTGGAAAGGGAACTCTGGAGGCATCTGGGCTAGTCCTCCTCACAGCAGGGCTGGCTTTCAAGTTGCTCAGGGATTGTCCAGCCTAGGTTTGAGTATCTCCGAAGATGAAGACCCCACAGCTTCTTTGGGTCTGTCCCAGGGCTGCAGTGCACTCAGGAGGAAGAATTTTTTCCTTATGGCCAGTTGAGGTTTCCCTTGTTGCAGCTTGTTCCTGTTGTATTTTGTCCTTTTGCTGTGTGTCTCTGCAAATAGCCTACCGTTTCCAAAATGAAATTACAGGGTGACTGTATCTCTTCAGGGTCCCAGAATAGGCGTGATGGGGCTTTAATCCCCCTTCTCTCCCAAAACTGGAGCAGGATTCAAGTGGTTTTTATACCTGTCTGCAATTTCAGACTTTGAGAGGTGTTTGTTTCTTTGTGTGTGCATGGAAATAAAAATTGAAGCTGACCTCAACCCAATTTTAGCTTCTAGGTCAAACAAAATGTCTGGTGGTCCCTATATGACAGTTTTCACAAAACCCTCTGATGCTATATAACTTTCCATGTTGGTTTTTTGTGGATACTGAGTTTTCATGGGTTAGTAGGGAGACCAAAGCACATGATCTGTGCCTGTCATCCTGCTCCTTGTCATCCTGTGCCTTAAGGTCATCTCAGGACATCTTCCTCCTGGCAGCTTGGGGTTGTTTTAAGAACGTTCTCCAATATTGATGGGGTCCCTGGAGCTTCCTTTCAGTATCAAAAGCTGACTGTTTTTCTCTGCCAGTTTCACCCCACTGACTTACCTTTTTTCTCAGAGGAGAGTGCGCAGGGAAGCAGTAGTCCATCCTTCCAGCCAAGCTGCATGGACCTGCATCTCTTCTCCAGCATCAGCAACAGCACTAGATTTGCCAAGCCTGAACTTGTCATTGCCTTCTGAGTCCTGGAACTCAGAGGATATCCTCAAGGTCTTTGGTGCTGCCTTGTCTGGTGGTGGGTGAAGTGAGCAGCAAGACCTTTCAGCAAGCAGCCATCCGGGATGGAAGGAAGTGCTTGCAGTCAGGTTCTTGACGGAGTGGCAGGGTTTGGCCACCCCAGGGCTGGGGAAAATCTGGGGTGGATGTGATCTAAGCCTATCTGTGAGATGGGGGTGGATCTCTGAAAGACTGGATGGTGGTCAGATGGTGTAACAACAGAAGTCCTGTTGGCACTGTTAGAAGAGGGAGAAAGTGATTTCAGTCTGTGTTTTCCTTGCAGAGGCTGAGTAGCAGCACAGAGAAGCAAGTGAGCCTGGCAGAGCTGCCTGCAGCTTTTGACAACACACTCATGGTCCCCAGGAGTGAGTTTCAGCATGCAGCCATCACCTCCTGTGGATACAAACTGCAGTGCCTCAGGTAAGGGTGCTGCTCCCTGTGAGGAGGGCTCTTCTGTGGGGTGTGTGAGATGTCTCTTATGCACTACTCACTGTGCCTGCAGGATCCGGGTGAGGCAGATCGCTAGGGAGAGAGACGAGGCAAGGCTGCACTTGGAGAAAGTGGAGAGACGCTGCCTGCAGCTTGGCAGGGAGTTGGATGAGCAGTACATCGCTCTCGAGCACACCCAGAGCAAGCTCAAGTAGGAGAGGTCCTTTTGTTGGGGCAGGGAAAATGGTTTTCCTGTGGGTGACCACAGCCTGTCCCTCCCGTCTCAGTCTTCCTTTATGAATCTCACACTTGTTTTGCCATTGTATCAGTGGCAGAGAAGTCCCTGAAGACACCCGCCCCAACTACAGTCCCAGCATCCCTCCAACCAAGCTTTGCCTCTCCTGCTTTGTGCATGGTGAGAGGGGGTGTCTCCTCATGGCCATCTGAGAACATCCTCCGAGTGCCCCAACCACGTTCCTTTTTTCCACCAGGGACGTTCAGGCAGAAATAGAGGCAAAAGAGCTTCTTTTGCAGCAAGCAAGCAATCACCAAGCGAAGCTGGAGGCTGATACACAGTTCCTCCAGGGCAAAGAGGCCAGTCTGCAAGGGAGACTGAACCACATGATGAAGGTAAGTTGAACTGCCCTGGGTGAAACATCTTCACTTCTTCAGAGGAGGCAAAGCAGAAGTCGTGACAAAGATGGATAGTTTGTGTTGCTCTTTCTGAGAAGGACAGGAGTTCTATGCAGAATCATCAGCCACATCCATACTATTGAATTAAATACAGAGCTTATTCCCTTGCCATGACATTATTAAACCCCTGTGTTGTCTGTTGGGAATGGTTTAGCTCTTGGTAACACCTGAACACCCGGTGGCTGAGGCTAAAATTGTGCCAGGGACCATGCCAAAAGCAGAGATGATGGTGTCTACATGCCTGGGATTTTCCCAGTGCTGTTCAACGTGGAAGTACAGACGGAGATAGGTCAGGACTTGCTGCCTTTGTTGGCCATGAGGGAAACCACAGTTTTGTGAAACAGAGGTAGTGATGAGCCTGTGGGGTTGTCTAGCTCTTATTCTGCAAAATCCACTCCTATGTCTGTCCTTTGGAGAGATGAGCCAAACCCCAGCCTGCGTGGTGTGTATCAGCAGTGTCCTGTCCAAAGCAGGGTCTTCTGCGAGCTGTGCTGCATTCAGCATGCTGATGTGCCAGTTGTTTTACAGCTGCCTGCTGAAGGCCCGTGGCCGATGAACCCATTCTGTGATGTGAGGACCCACAACATCAAGAGAATCTTCTCCTTTTTGTCTGCAGGAGAACACACAGCTGCAAAACAAGGTCATGGAAATGTCTGAGAAACTGGTGGCCTCTGAGAACCTGGTGTTGGAGCTGCAGAAAGAACTCAACTATGTTGTGAAGGACAAGGTAGCCTTCCTTTCTCTGTTGCAGTTAAATAGGAACTTTTCAGGAACTCATCAAAAGATGAATCCTTTTCTAAGAAATCTTGCATATTTGGGTCAGTTGATATGATCTTCCCCTCTTTGAACAATCCTGCACATTATTGACAACCTGGAAAGAAAAATTACTGGCTCTTAATTTAGGCCTTTTGAAGTCTGAAAGAAAAAGATGAGGAAAGCTTGCAGTTGTAGAAAATTCTACAAATCTGCAGTCTTCAAGTGGGAACTTCAGAGTTTGGTTTCCAGAAAAGAAAAGCTTTCTTTTTCACAAGTATTGCAGTAAAGAGTTCATTTTAGTGTCTTCCACTCCAGTGAGGCACCTGGTAAGATGGATCTTGGGAAAGAAATGAGGCTGTGATCTTGTTAGCCAGTTTGGGAAAGGTAGTCTGTCTGTAGTTTGGTGTCTCTCACACATGAAGAAAAATGTTTTTCTTCCTCTTTCTGCATCTGACGCATTCCACAGGTGTCAATAGGAGCCCTTCCATTGAATCTATGAGTGTAGCACCATGACTCCCGTGATTTAGGAGAGGTTTTGCCTCTCCATTTGGAGAGGTGATAACTTCTTTGATGAGAAGTGTTTCCCTGTACTTGTGCAGCTGGGCCAGGAGGAGCCCCACAGCCCAGAGCTCCTGAACCAGAGCGAGCGCTTTGCAGAGATTATCCTGGAGTACGAGCAGCAGTGCCAGGTACAAGCGGGCAGCTTTCCAGCAATGCTGTCATAAAAATACAGCTCTCATCGGTGCATCTTTTGTGCACATTGGCCTGTGGGAGAGGAAGGAGGCAGCCCTGATCAGAGTGCAGAGGGGGGATCCCTCTTGCCTTACTCAAGAGTCCTTTGGCAAGAGGCAGGACACAGCTGTGCCGTCAATAAAGCAGCCTGTCTGCTCACTCCTGCAGCCCTCCATGGGTTGGTTCCCTTGCTGGGATACTGGCAGGGGGGACTAGGGGTGGGTCGTAAATTCCTCCCTTCCTGCCACCCTGTAGCCAAGGGCCACTTTTTTGGTGAACCACGTAGCCCTGTGTATAAGGACTGACCATGCTCAGTTGTGTTGCATTTCTTCTTGAACACAAGGAGAAAGCTGTTCTTCTTTGGAAAGCATGTTATCAGCTAAATCCTTCTATCTTTTTGTTTTTCCCTTCCTCCTTCTTGCCCCACTTTAACAACCCCTGCAAAACTTGTTGCTGCTGGACTCTTCTAGAGAGTCAAGGTGAGCCTGTCCAGGTACTTGGTGTGTGTGTGGTCCAGGCATTGGTGTTGTGTGTGTTGTACTTCCCGCAGGGTGCTGTGCTCCTGCCCAGAGCTTTGAGCTTTCTGGGATGTGAGCGCAGCCTCCATTTCCCTTCTTTCATTTTTAAGTAACTTATGTATCTTGCATGTTGTGAGTTTCTGGGTGCTGTGTGCCTTGGCTCCTGAGTCCTGTGCTTACTGCATTGCCCATTTCTTTCCAAGTGCTATGTGTGACTGGGGAATACTACTGAGTAGAGATGATGACTTACCAAATGCCCCTAGCAGGGTCTGAAATCTGCATTTTCAGCAAAGCTGTTTCACAGATGCAGCAGACAGCCCCTTTTGAAGCTGTAATTAAAGGCAAACATACCGGAGCACTATCCAGCACAGCATTGCTCTAGGTGGCACCAGAGGGTTGAAGGTGGTCGATGCTGCAATTTTTTTTCTACCATTGAGCAGTCCCAGAGTTGTCCATGAGAATGCTGATGGATAGAGAGGTTCGGCCTTCAGGCTTCATCTGCCCCTGTGCAGGCACCCACTCAGGTTTATCCTTTACCCTTGTTGAATGCTGTCAGCCCCCCTCCTCCTCTGCTCTCCTGTTTAGAATGGAAATTAAACAAACTGAGTTTGTATTTGTCTAGATCTGCTCAATAATATGTATTAATTGGGATCTTTGGAAGTATCCTAGTTCATAGTCTCTTGCAGCCCATCAGTTTCCTGGGTGGCAGCATAGAGGATATAATTTGATGACTGCTCAAAGTGGACAGTCCTGAGGGAGGCAGCATGCCTTGTATACTGTTGCTTCCAGTAGGGGATGGAGGGTGTGAAGTGAAACAAGCAGTTGCCAGCTCCAGACACACACATGGCAGTGGCTCATTGCACTGGTGTGGTGGCTCATAGTGTGATGTTCAGCCATGGGACTCCTTGCTGCAGGTTAGGTTGGCACTGAGATGGGATAAACTCCTGTGCTGGCCTCTGAGGGTGTCTCTGTGCTAAGCAGGCAGCAGGACCTTTTCTTGTGCTCTGCTTTCCATGGGATTAGCACCTTCTTGTCTAACTTTATTCCTTCTGCAACCTAGAAATGTTCCTTTCCAGAGCCCTGTGGGACCTGCTTCACCATAAATCCTGCTGTTGCTTGTCTGCATACAGTAGTGTTTGTTGGGTAGCCCAAATGCCCACAGGAGTGTCTTGAGGATGTAAACACAAACCTCTGGGCTGTGTGAGGGATTGTACTGAGATCATTGTGCTTCTTCTGTGTTGGTCACTAGCAATGGTTTTATTTAGGTCAGGAGGGGTCTCATGAGGTCCAGCCCTCTGAGGTGTTTGCAAAAGCCCCTGATATTGTGTGCTTTCACTTGTGGGGGCAGTTGCTTGCAGCTGTTTGTGGTTGCAGTGATCTGGGCTTGTATTTCTTCTCTGGCTCTTCCAAAATCTCTCATCTCTGCCTGTTCGGGATGGAAGAAAATCCCCCTGCCTTATTCTCTGACTGTGCTGGCAATGGGGCTCTGGTCTTCATGCTGCAAGAGACCCTAAGTACACATGGCTGCTGGGAGCTGTAGGTTCTTGGCCCCCCACATCCCTGCGGAGCTTTGTAGCAACATTGTGACCAGTCTCTGCTTCAGGTGCTGTGGGACCAGAATGGAGTGCTGTGGAGGGAGCTGGAAAGGCTGCGTCTCCAGCTACAGGAGAGCAGGGCTGAGAGAGGGCTGCCAGCAGGAGGTAAAATGCAGGAGGGTTCAGTGCCTCTCCATCTTCTCAGCAAGAGCGAGGTTCCCTCTGGATCGGAGTTTTCATGGGAGTGTGGGGCAGCTTGTGCCTGAGCTGCTGCTGCCGCCTGCTCTTGCACTGGGCAGCCGTGGGAGGGAAGAAGGGAGTGATGGGTGGTGAGGAGGAGGGAAACGTAGGGAAGCAGGCTCTTCCAACTTGAGAGCTGGTGATGGTGACCTGTGGTCTAGGCAGATTTTCACTGTTGAGGATGTTGATGAGACAAAAGATAATAAAGAGAAAGTAGCCCCAAACTGTGAGTTGGGAGATTCAGGTTGAGCATTAGGAAAAGACTTTTGGCCTAGAGGGGTGATGCAGCCGTGGGACTGGTTGCCAGGTAGATGGGGGATCTCCATCTTTTGGGGTTGTATGGACTTGACTTGATGAAGCTGCAGCCATCCTGATCAGGACAGCCAGGCTTGTGTTGTCTTGTAGGTCTGCCCTCACAGGACTCCTCTCTGCCAGTGTGCCGCTCTCCCAGCCTTCTTGTTCCCACTTATGTGCGCACAGAGACGTCACTCTCAATGGAACAGCTCCAAGAGCAGTTGCGGGACCTGAAGGTGCAGCTGGAAACCAAGGTGAGCAGGGTGGGGCAAGATGTCCTGACCTCTTGGCACAACTGCTTGGTAAGCACCCAGCATGGCTGATGGAGCATCTGGTTCAGGAGGGTTGCTGGAGAGTTCAGGGTGGGGAGCAGGGTACCTCGTCTCTCTGCTGTGGTTATTGCATGTGGTTCCCCAGCTGATCTTAGCTAGTAGGAGGGTTTGGAGCCCTCACTGGCTGGCAAAGGCTTTGTGGAAATCCCTGTCACCTTGCAAAATGTTTGTGTGGGCCTTGCTCCTTATGGGGAACCAGAGATTAACTCAACTCAGTGTTCCTGTCACAGTAAAACCAGCAATAGGACCAAGAGGAGAAGCAGCCAGGTGTCTCCTGAGAGCTTGGGGGGGTATTAGAGCCCTGTCTCCCTGGGATTGCAGCACACTTTTAACCTGCTTGCCCTAAGGTTACAGTGTGAGCCCAGCCCTCCTTGTAGAGAGCAGTGAGTGCTTATGTGAGAGGCCTCAGTTTCCATTCCTCTTTTTGCTGCAGAACTGAGAGGTCAGGGTTGCTTGCTGGATTTCCATTGCAGCACTGCAAGAGTAAATCCTAAACTGCCACACAGGTGATGAGCAGTTCAAGGAGCACAAAGCTGCTTGCAGATTTTCTGCCTGCTTTACAGCCCTGCCTCTGTGCTCATCAAGTCCTGAAGTTTCTAGCATTTATAGGGGAGCCATGCTACTCACCGCCACACCTTGGACAAGGGACCTCTCTGCAGGGTGGAGGAAGGATATGAGGAGCAGTGGCGGATGGTGCCCTGGCCTCTGCCTTCTCCTCTCTGGGGTCCCCTGCAAACAAGGATAAAGGGGGAGGACTGCTGCCTGCTGGGAAGAACGGGGACGTGCTGATATCTGCTTGTGTGAGGCTGCTGCGTGAGACTGATTATTGCCCTAAGTTCAGCCGGGCCCAGAACTGCCTGAAGAGTGTCCCCTCTTGGGGGCCCTAGTTGGGAGAGACCACTAGATTGATCTAAGTCAGAGCTATTCAAGGAGAGGGAGAGCTGTTGGGAGCATGGTGCTAATACCCAAATCCTGTCTCCTCCCAACAGATAAACTATTACGAGGAGGAAATTGAGTTAATGAGGAAAAACATTGAGAGAGAGAGGAAGGACAGTGAGGAAGGCTTCAAGGCTGAGATGCACAAGATGGAAAACCAGAAAAGAGACCTGAAGAAACAGTTGCACCATTTTCTTTCTGGGGCTAAGTGGGGTACTAGGGGTGCATCCCCTGCTCATATCAGAGTAGGTTGGGCTGATCTCTCATGGGGCTCCAGCTGCTTTAATTTGGAAGAAAATCTGGGCAGTATTGCAGGGCTGCAGCTGTTCAAAGTGAGACATCTAAACTCCCCTTAGATGAGTGCTTTTATTTTGAGACTTTAAGTTTCCCTGCATGTTTTACAAGCTTGTGTCAGAGGCAGTGCCCAGCAAAGATTGTATCTCAAAACAGTAAGAGAAATAAGAGAGCTTTCATCAGTGTTTTCTTATTATCTGTCTGTCTTGGTCCTTCAGCAAACCTGCCTCTACTTGCATCACAACCTGCTGTCCTAAAAGCAGCAAAAAATGGCTTAATCTTCTCTGTATAGTCAAACCAGACTGGCTTGTGGGAGAGTAAGGCTGTCACTAAATGGCTGTTCATCTTCCCTTCCTGTGCTTGTGGTGCCAGTTCTGCAACCTCCCCAGGGGCCAGAACTGCCTTGCAGAGGAGACTGAAGAGGAACTGGAGAGGAAACTGTTGACTGTCCATGCCTTCCCCCCTCCTGCTTCCCAGCACATCCCACCACTGCCCCCAGGCTTTCATCCTGCATCTTCCCTGCTGTGCCTCCCTTCACTGCCTCTTGTCAGGAGCAGAGACCCCTGGCAAAACACAAATGGAAGATTTTGCTAGGTGATGATCCCTGTTTTAGAGCTGAGGAGCTGAGATGTGGGGTAGGTGTGGGAGAAAGGAGGTGACTTGGCTGAAGTCTGTGGCAGACCAGGGGAACAGACCCAAATTTAACAGAAATACAAGGCATTTGAGCTGTGTTACCACCATCTCTGGTGAAGGGTAGAGGGATTGTCTGTAGTGGGGAGCTTTCAGAGTTGTTGGAAAACATCTGATGGATGAGTCTTTGAGAAGTGCAAAATGGTGTGGGAACTTTCTGTAATGTTTAAGTAATTGCCTTGACTTTGCAACCTAAAGAAAACTTTGCATTGCCTCTCCAGCAAAAGTATGTTCTGAGGCTGGCTGAGCTTTTCATGCTGTGTTACCAAATCCAGGTCAGCAAAACAGTTTTTATCGTTAGAAAAGATGCAGAGGTTGAGCATAAGCAAGAGCTGTCATGGAGTGAATGCCAGCATGAGGACAGCTGTAAGGATTTTTTGCAGCAACATTGGTGTGAGAGGAGGTGATTTCCCAATGATTAAGGCTCCAAGGGAAGACCTTCAAGAGCAGCATGCCCAGGAGAGTCAGCAGTGGAAGTGGAAGGAAAAGGACATGGTCTCTCTGGAAGAAGAGGCAGCTAAAGCTGGAAGAGAAGGTTAATGAGGAGCAAGTCAAGATGCGTGAGATGCTGGCTGTTGAGAAGAAAAAGAGAAGAAAAAGCACCAGGATGAAGTGGGAGTAATGCAGAGCTCATGGAGCTGAGGGCTCTGGTGTTGGAAGGGACAAGGTGTCTGGAGAGCTGCCCTGTGGGGGAAAGGAGCAGGTCCCCAAGACTCAGATTAGCAAGTAGGCCAAAATCTCCTGTTGGAACCTCAGCACTGAAGGAACAGAGAAGAAATGAAAAATTGTGTAATGGATGGACCAGTGCAGGCAGTGCAGATGTCTGTTGCAGTGAGTGGCCTGCTCAATCTAGAAGCTGGAGCCAAAGCTTGAAAGCATTTGTCAGGAAGAAATGAAATCTTGATAGACAAGGAAATGTGCTTGGGAAGGAGGCAGACAGAACAAAGCAAAATGGTTTGCTTTTATACAGCAGACACAGCAGAATATCAGGACATAGACAAACTTGGTCTGGAGGGCGAGAAGAGGGGGAAAAAAAAACCCAGGAGGCAGTGGCACAGCAGCATAGGCTGTGACAGCATGACATTCAGGCTGTCAAAATGGAGCTGGAGAGGGAAAGGAACAGGGTGAAACTGGAGCTGATGCAGCTCAGAGATGTAGTGTACTGGCTGGAAAATGAAACCAGAGCTCAAGAGAGTGGCAGGTTTGAGCGCAAAGGTAGTTTGCAGAACTAACACAGTGCTGCTGCTGCAAAACAAGCAGATGCAGGCTGCTTAACAATGTGATGGTCCAAGAGACTGTAACAGCAGCTATGTTCTCTCTTGATGCTCTAACAGGAGATGTATTCTTTCCTGACACTCTAGAACAGCAGCTATGTTCTGTCTTGCTGTTCCCTGCATGTCTTTTACCAATCACGGGAGCATGGTCAGAGAGCTGGGATGTGCTCATGTGGCTGTGGCTGACCATGTGCTCGTCTCCTCTGCTTTGTATAGTTGTACGTGGGTGTTGGACATGCCACAGGAAGCACAGTATGTGAATCCTGATGTAAAACTGACTCAGAAAGCAGCTGCTGTGAGGAGTGTCCTGCCAAGCAGGGGGAGCAAACACCACGCAGCCCCTGCACTAGTCTCCTCGCTTGCTTGCTTGGAAAAGAGATTAAGAACTTCCTCACTCAGCTCCTCTGCCTCCCCCATGCAGTGCCACAAACTGCAGTGCTGTCCTCCATGCCAGGATGGACAGCCTGTTCTCCTGTGCTCTCACCTCACAATTTGGGTCCTGTGGTGGACCTGGGGTTTAGCAATAGCTAAAAAACAGGATAGGACTGTCTGTTTAACACAGGACTGAGCTTCCTTTCCACAAGTGCCTTTCCTTCATAGCCTCATGGGAGACTGGGGGTGCCAGCAGGCGTGGAAGGATAATGAGACAGAGAGGCTGCCTTGGATTGGGGTCATAGCTGTTGTGTCCAACACTGTAAAATCACAGAGGCCTCACAAGCAAGCTGACTTCTCCAGACATGGCTCTGTTGCAGCTGAGAGGTTGGGTTCACCACCTGGTTATCCTGTAATGAAGTCCTGGTGTGTCTTGATGTGCTGAATCACTTTATTTCCACTCCTTGGCAGATCTGCAAAATAATTTCAGCCAGCTGGAAGCCACACAAATTCAGGGTCTGATGCTTTTTGTCCTTATTCCCCTTTATTTCCCTTCCCTTGAAGACCTGCTCCTTCTCTACCAATGTCTCTTGATTTTCCCTCATGTTTTATGTGAGTTATTGGGTGGTTGTTTCTCAGATTTCTTTAGTTCTTGCTGTCCTTGCAAACCAAATGGGAATAGAGCAGGGAGCCAGCGTAGGATGCCTAGAGCAAACTGGGCTTTTGCATAGTTTTCTCACTCTGCTGTCTCCCTGCAGGGGAGAGCTGTGCCAGCTGCTGGAGGAGAACAGTTTGCTGAAAAGTCAACTTAGGATAATCCAGCAAGAGCTGAGGCTAGCAAAGGAGAAGGGCAGTGAACATGATGAACAAGAAAGGAGCCAGCTGTAGGACACTGACAAGTGGGTGGATAGCTGATGCTTGTAAAAGGAACTTGGGTGCATTTACGAGATTTCAGCTGGCTCAACCTGCCTTTTGTTTTCTCGTTTCCAGGCAAGCCAACACTCTCACGCCCTTTGCTCCACGCAAAAGCAGCCAGTGCTGGGGTGGGCTTGGCCAGCCAAAGGCTTGGGCAGGCCAGAGCACAGGGTCCAGAGCCAGGTTTGGGGAAGGCTCTGGGGATGGGTATGCTGTGGGAGGAAAGGATGGGCTATACAAACCTTTTGGCCAGTGGCGTGCTGCTGCCTTAGGAAGCTTGAGATAGGTACTGGGGTCACCCACTGAGCCATAAATCCAAGGAGAGCCAGGTTTCTGATGTGGATGGTCCCAAAAGTCTGTTAAGCTGGCTCTCTCACTGTTCTTCATCCCCTGATGTTCAGGCCTCTGACAATGTTGCAAGACTTTGGAGGTCCCCAGCTGAGTGCCCTGGGCTGGGCTGTGTCACCTGTTGGGGCAGAGACACCTGACACACTCCTGAATCAATTGAGGACCATATCCGTTTTGGCCTGGCTTTGCTTCCTTCTGCAGACCAAAACCAGATGTGTGGCTCCCCAAAACTCTTCTCTGGGGGATCATGGTTTGCTGCTCTTTGGCCTGAAGCTGATCGTATCCCTCTCCCCGACAGGAAACACGTGAGCAAATTGGGCAGAGAGAAGGTGGAGGAGCTGGCTGAAATAGCAGAGTTGACAGTGTTGGTAAGAAGCCATTAACACTAATTGACAGGCTCTTGGCTGAAGGATTTAGGAGGACAACTGCACATGCTTCTAAAGGAGAACGGGAATGTTTGTTCCAAAATTCAAACCCAGTCTTGCTTTGAAGAACCAGCTTTATTTTATAGCTTGTCAAGTGGGGAAAAGTTGTGTGACAAAAGCCAGTGAAGGTCTTATAGAAGGGAAGATGTTACTATAAAATCTCTAATGAGGTTGACTTTACCTACTTGCACTCTTTCTCCCAGAGATTTTACTCGCTCCCAGTCTCAGGTCCACATGCTTGGACATGTGTGCATACAAGGCCTGGCCAGGACTGCCTGTGTGCAACGTGGACGAGGGTTGTAGGCTGTTACTTCCTCACTCTGTTTGTGGGACTCCTCATGACTGGGAACCACAACCTGTTTTTTGGACATATCTTTTGTACTCTTCAGGGCCATCAGCTGCAGCAGGGTGGCCCTTGCTGGCTTCAGCTTCCATTAACCTTCAGCCACAAACCTGCTGCTCATGGTCTGCTTTTCCTCCTTTGGAAAAAAGCTGCATTGGTTGCCCATTTTCCTGGGAGGCTAGCAGAGGAGTGGGATGTGGGGTATGTTTCCACCATGCTGTTAGATGCAGGCTTTCTGCTGACGTGTTATTTGTGCTGTGGTCTGGTCAGAGCACAGGCCAGAAACTGCACCTTACTCAGCATTACTGCCAGGGATGGTGTCCTAGGAGCCACATCTGGGGGTGGTGCTCTTTAGTGTCAATGCAGGCTGCTCTTGTAGCCCTAACTCTGCTCCTCCATCTGGCACTTTCACATGTGCACACAGACATGTTTCCATTCATACTGTATTCTTAACAATCTTAATATTTGTGTTACACATCTGTACAGCTGCCCCCCCAGCTTTCCCTCATGACCTCCTTCAAGGCTATCATCTCTGCGGGTTTTCTTAACTGGGAATGCTGTGCTTGAACTTGTCCACTGGGCTTTGGCCAGGCTGGGAAATGAGGGCACTTGTCCTGAGTGCCTGCAAAGCCCTGCAGCAACAGCAGTGTTCCTGGGTTGGTATCCAGTGGGGACAGTGTGGGATAGGTTAAGTCTCTATTGCCTCTCTTCCCACCCCAAGCCTCTGTGCATGAATTGTTTTTTTTCTCAACCTTTTCCAGAGTGAGAAGAGCAAGAGGGAGGTCTCCCACCTGAATGTCAAGACGTGTCAGCTAGGCTGTGAACTCACTGAGCACAAGGCCAGCCACAGTGCTGGCCCTGGCACTGTCCAGCTGCAGAGCCAGAGGCTTGTGGAGGCTGAGTGGCTACGAGGAGAACATACATCTGTGAGGCTGAAGCACCACCAGCAGCATGCAGCATGTTGGATGGAGATGGAGCTGCTCCGACAGCAGCTCAAGGCCTCGCAGGAGAAGGTGGGTGTCATTCAGTTGGTGACAGGGTGGCAGGCTGCTGAGTGGTCCCTGTGATACGGGTATTGCCCTGCTCAGGGCTGTATCGGATACCCTCCCCAGGCAGAAAAGTCTGTCCTCTTCCTCTTTGTGGGGGACAAAGGACTCTCCCTCCTGCTCAGATATGTCTGAAGCCAGTTCAGGTGCAGCTTGGGACAGGTCCTTGGCTCACAGCTGCCCCTGTGGTGTCCTGTCTGTCCTTGTTCTGTGTGGGCTGGCTGGGCAGAAGATGGAGGCTGAGTGGAGGTGGCTCACAGAGGAGTGCCAGGAACTGTGGTTCCCCAATAGCTCAGCTGACAGAGGAGCTAGAGGTGTGGCAGGATCAGGTAGGGGCTGGGCAGGGATGACAGGGGCTAGGCAGACCACGTCTGAGGGGAGGGAAACAAAGTAATCAGAGCAGGGGAACAAGGACCACTAGGATAGAGGAAAGCTGATGTGAGAAACCTCCAAATGTGTTAATATCCCTCTCCTGCCTTCTACCCTGGGGACAGGCTCAGGGACTGGCTTTCCAGAGTACACCTTGCTCATGCCAGCCACCCCTAGGTAGTCCTAGGGCAAAGCCGGACCAGACCTGCTTCCTGGTACCCAGTTTGCCTTTGCTGGTGGCAGGAAGTAAAGGACATGCAGTACAGGTAGGGATCGAAGCCCAGCTTGCCTGGGACGTACCTAAGAACAAACCCAGGTGAGCAGCCCCCTCTGCCTTCTGCCATTGCAGCCCTTGGTGCTAGGACTCCCTCCCAGAGGATCCCTCCAGCAACTCCTGCTCCTTCCTGCTCAGCAAGGGGAGCATCTCTCAGCAAGGGGTCCCTGTTTCTCCTCCTGCAGCTCTCGGTTCTCTCCATCCCTGGCTTCATAGGCTGCACAGCGAGCACCACTCCCATGGTCCTGCTGCTCTGCTGTGGCCATGCAGGTGTCGGAGCTGAGGTGGGGGCTGAGGGTGCTTCCTAACGTCTCACTTCACCTGCAGCACACCTTGGGCCTGTCCCATCGCTGGTGCAATCGTAACCAGCTGTAACCAGCTATCGGCCTTTCTGTGTTACAGCTCTTAGAAGCCGAAGCAGGCCTGAGCTTGGCCCAGACTCAACACGCTCTGCAGTTGCAGCAGGCCAGGGCCCAGATGAACAACATGGTGCCAAAGAAACAGTTTGAGCAGCTGCAAACCAGCTTGAGAGAGGAACAGTGCAAGGCTCAGCAGCTCCAGGAAAACCTCCACTGGCAGGCTGAGCAGACATGCAGGCAGATGGCCAGGACCCAGGTAAGCAGGGAATTGGGGAACTCAGTCAAGGGTACTGGGGAGGGAGCACTGCCAGGCTGGAAGGCAGTTGTGGTTGAAGTCACCAGAGGTTTGGGTGGTAGATGCTATATATCAAGAACCCATGTGGAAAATGCACTTGATCTTCAAATTCAAATGCAATTTTCATTCCTCATGAAGCCAGTCACTGCCCTGCACTCAAACAGGAGCCCTCCCCACTCTAATCCACCTACCCCAGACCAGATACCTTGTGCTTAGAGGAGCAGGAGTTATCCAGGGAGACACTCTGTGTTGGCTCGGGCTGGGGAAAGGAAGTTTGAGCCCTCTACATGGGGATGTAGCCTGCACAGAGCAGGGTGGATTTAATTCTAGGACACTGGGCAACAAGGTGTTGGGTTTTTGTGAGTTTGTCCTTTGTTTCAGGACATTGTGATTCAATTGAACTAACCTGGGCAAAAAAGGAGCAAATTATAACCAAGGAATTAAAATGAGCAGGCACAAAAACTACATGCAAGGAAATGATGTCTCTCCCTGGGCTTTTCTGGACACTGCTAAGAGAGGGGAGGCCACTGGCTTGTTTTTATAGAAAACATTGCTGGGAAATCTGTGTCTTGTCTTAAAACTGGTTGCTGCTGACCTGTGGAAGGTTGTACTGCTCTAGACCCTTGTCCCACTGCTCTTTGCATCCTGCACCACCTCCGCTGGTCCCACTACACTCTTCTTTAGGGGGTGTGAAGGTCTATGAGCGGGCCCCTGGGGGAATGCATGGTCCAGGATTGCCAGGGGCCAGGTGAATGCTGGGACAACCCAATGTTAGGCTTTGTTGCCTGCTGCAGGACGAACATGAGCGTCTGCTGCAGGCAGCTGTGGAGCAGGCAGAGGGGCTGGAGCACAATCTGAGGAGTGCCGAGGCTGTGCTGGCAGAGAGGGTGGCTCAGCTCAAAGATGCCCTGGTGAGTGCAGGGGGGATTAGTGCTGCGTGTCCCTGCCTGTCTGGGACCCCTGTATGGGGATGTTGAACCTTAAGCCTCCTGTCCCTGCTGTAGGCCCAGCTTTCCAGGAACAAACTGCTGATCGAAGACCTCCGTGAGGAGAACAGGGGGTTTGCAGTGGCCCTGCAGGCGGCTGAGCAGAAGCAGAAGAGCACTGAGGAGAAGAACCAGCTGTTGGAGGAGCAAGCCTCAGCTCTGAAGCAACTCATTGGAAAAATCACTCCAGCATCTCTGAGTGGGTGATAGGGCATCCGCTGTGGCACCCCTGTCCCTGGTCCTGGCTGGGGTTTGTCAGGTGCGGAAGGGGAGGTATGGCTGGGTTGGGAAATCAGCCTTGTCTTTCCAGGTTTTGCCAGGATTTCCCTGGGTAGAAAGTAAAAAATGGAGAAACCAGAGTCCTTTAAGGAAACTGGTCCTGTGGATAGCTGAACTTTCCTACTGAAAAGCACCAGCGTTGGCGCCTTTCTCAGTGGCCGAGTGTGCTGTTGTAAGTCGGGTCTGTCTCAGGCCAGCCATCCCACGGGAGCTGCCTTGCTCCCTCTCTGCAGAGGGCTGCTGTTGAGGCTATGCTGTTATGGCTGGAAAGCCAGGGCAGGAGGGCTTTCAGGTTCCTGCATCTGGCTCACTCTGAGCAGGAAAGCTGTGTTGTAGCATTAAAATGTTTGCAGTATTACAGCACCTCCTGCCATCTCGTCTGCTCTGTATTTCAGTAGCCTTCCCCAGCTGTTGCTGAACTTTTATTCCCTACAGGTCCTCTTGGGCTCTAGGAGACTCTGACCCTCCTAAAGCCTGAGCCTTCAAAGATCCAAACCAACCTGTGGCTGGATTGTTGCCTCTGTGGTAAGCAGGGCAGAGGGGGTGAGGGAAGAGCTTTCTATCAATTTGAGCCTCCAAGGCTTGGGGCAGGGTTGGTGACCCCTACTCAGTACTGCACTTCTTCAAAGGAGACATGGTAAGCAAACTGTCATCTTGCCTTCCCTGTTGGCCTTTGAACACTGGCAGTGAGTACTGCTCTTGCCAAAATAAGTTGTCTAAAAGGCCACAAAGCCAAGCATTCATATCAGCAAATGCCAAATTTATTGATCTGCCCAGGGTGTTACCCTCTGCATGGAGGATGCATCATTGTCATGTGCAGAACAGAGGGTATTTACATGGGGGCTGCGGTTCCCACTAGCTGTGAAAGGACTCCTAGGATTTTGGGGGCTTATGGAGACTACTGTAGAAGAGAGACGAGGCAAGCCTGGGTAGCAAAGCAGAGGCTGGACAGTCAATACAAAGAAGAGGGCTTAAAAATGGCTCAAGCTGTTGTTGGTTCAAGAACAAAAGGGGATAAATTAGCTGTGAGCTAAAACACTGCCTTTAAGTCTCAGCCTGCAAGGGCAGAGGGGTTCCCTGGCCTTGGGACTGTGCCAGGAGATGGCTGGAGGCTGTGACTGAGGAGGCCTCCTTGGTCTAGGCATGTTTTTTTCTGCCCTGGTGGATAACAGCTGAGTCTTCTTTGCCTTCAGGGCAGTCCTGATTGTAAGGGCCATGAGAGAAGCTGGGCGACTACAAGGAGGGAAGCCCCACAGAGGGCATAGGCCAGCTCAGGGAGGTTCCTTGGCTGGGGCTGGGAGAGCAATGCAGTAATGCCCTGGGGAATTAATCCTGTTCTGTACTCTTCCCTAAGTATTTGCTTTTTGGCTCCTGTCAGAGATGGGGGCTAGGCAAACCTCTAGTCTTACCTAGGTCTTATGTTTTTGGAGCGTTCTCTCTCAGCCACTATTCAAGAATGGGCACCTTCATTTGGAAAACCAGATAGGGAGAGCAGCTCTTCAGCCTTGCTCTGTTTTTATGTCAACTGGAATCCTTAAAATCCTCTGCTCCTTTTCCCACCCCTACCCCAAACAGTCCCTAGGCCCTGCCAGACCAGTGAGCTGGGGAAGAAGACTCTTCACAGAGGGACAGAGGCACAGCCCAAGCATGCTGGGTGAAACCTTGGCCAGGCCCGTGACCCAGACTGCAGTGCTTGTTCACTCAGTGCCTTAAGAAACATTTATAGACCTCTGATGGGAGACAAGAATTCATGTATAATCCTAGAAGGAAGCTTCTGCAACCACATCTGACTCTTGGAGGAGCACCTCCGCTGAGACACCTACATAACCAGTTGAGCATCACCTTGCAGGGTCAAGATGGGCTGAGCCAGAGAGCCACGTCAGTGTTCAACACACAGTGTTAACTCTTTAAAAAAACAACAACACAAAATTGAAGGCTGAAGCAGTTCTTTTATTTTGCAACCGTGGAGCTCTCCTGGCTTTCGGAGCCCACCAGGTTGGTCTCTTACTCCCACATGCACAGTGTGAACAAAGAACTGCTCCAAACAAAAATGCATTCACAAAACCCACTTGTAGCTGTGAGGCTTGGATAGCACCCTCCCCTACCCCCCCCACCTCCAATGCTACCCCCCACTATGCTGGATTCCCAGGATTGCTACATTACCAGTATGCACCCTTCGGTCATGAGGAGCTGGCCAGTGTGGTTTGCATACTTTAACAACTCAGGGCTGATCTTCATGTCAGGTATCAAAGGCTGTTAAGAGGAGTGGCAGGGTGCCCACTGCAGAAATGCTGAAGTGTCTTGATGTCCTGCATATACCAGAGTTCAGTCCCCACTGTGGGCAGGCCACCAAGCAAGGGTTGTCCCTCCTGTCCTGCACGCTTACGACAGAATGTGCTCAAGGACTCCTTGTCTGATTAACTGCTCACATTTCCAGCGGGGTAAAAAGTGCTGCACAGAAACACAGACAAACTTCCCTTGAAACCCAGGCAGACTGGATTTGTTGCTGCACACAACCAGCTCTGTTGTGCTGTATGCCTGCTGCACCGTGGTACCAGATCAGGCAGAGCTGAACCGCGGTCCTGGGCCACACAGCTCGCAGCATGTGCAAGGAGCTGTGTGTGTGGGATCTGTGAGATGCTGCAAAGCTGGGATAAGCAGGGGGGATGTCATGGGAGTGAAAGGGAAGGAAGAGAGCAGACCACACTCTCTTGTCATGGGTACCTGGCTATTCTTCTTCAACAGGATGGTGGTACCATCATCAATCTCAAATTCTCCATAGTCTCTTAAACACCTCACCTGCAAATCAGAAACACAGCGCTCAGATCGATCCATCAGGCCCCCCACAGAACACACTAGACATCACTGCTGACTTACAGCATGTGCCCCAGAACTGTAAGTACAGACACATTCCTACCCGCCTGCTGGAGCCTCAATATAGAGGAGACCTGGAAACGCAGAACTGGACTGATCCCACAGTCTGTGGGCTCTACCTGAGGCAAGAAGCACCAGTGAGCAGCCCAGTCCTCTACAGACTAGAGGAAGAGCAGGACAAGAGACAGGGTCTGGGGAACAGCAGCAGGATTTCCAGGAGAACCTCCCCACACGTGTACCAGAAAAAGCCGTTCTGTTAACAGTGAAACTGTCTTAAGGAGCAGGTTGATTGTCACTACGTGTTCTTTCAAAGAGAACACAGAACAGAGCACTTCAGCTACTGACTGGTTTCTCACCTGCTCTTGCTTTGTTGTATCGATTGTGTAAAATGATCTGTCAGAGTCCATTTAAAATAACAACAAAGAAAACTAGTTAACAATCCTTAACGTGGGAGCAAGGTTTCTAGTTGATCTGAGAGTTGGCTAAGCTTCTGCAAAATGCTGTAAAAACTTCTCACTGGGATTCAGACCACTCACCCCACCACATCAACTCGCTGCAGACTAGAAATGCCATCTTTCAACATACTTTGAGCCCTCAGTAGAAGAAGGAGTAAAATATAGAAGCTTATAGAAGTTTTGGTGCTCTCAAAGGCTTTGCTCAATGACCTTCTGACTTGGGATGGGGGTGATAACTCTCTAAAAACAAGGTAGTGGGGCAAAATGTTTGTTCACAGACAAAACCCACCAATCTTGCACTTACTTCGATGTACAGGCTTTTGGGAGGTTTTATGTCCTGTGTAAGGTCCAGCCCTTCCTCTCCTCCTACTGACCTCATGTAGGTAGCCAGAGACTTTTTGTACCGATTGAACCACTCCACCTGTAGACATTAACAGTGATCCCTCAGGCAAAGCTGAACAGCTAATGCTGGAAGACTGGTGAGTGACATCTAGTTTATTTGTGCAAGCTCTTCTGAAGGGAAGAACTGCCCCGAGAGGCAGAGCACTCTGGGTTCAGGGTAGGACGCATGCTGCTCATGTGCAGCAGCTCTGTGCATTGACCTAGAGATGGCACTTGAGAGCAGCACGTGATTGTACCCACAGACAATGAATAAACAAATCAGTATTTGCAGAAAGGCACATTACGTGACATGTTTGTAGTGGGGGAAGTCTGCCCTGTTTTGACTCTACTGAATAGATAATCCATCAGGAGGTGTACGGGGAAAGAGGGGAAGAGTTTACGCCAAGGCTGACTCACTTCCTCAGCTGACATGTGAAACTGGATGGCGTTGGGCAGGACGCTGCCATACTCCCACCTTAGCGCTCGGATCCGCAGCAACCGGTCATACCTGGGGGAAGAAACAGGGGCAAAACCAGCACCTTTGCCAAGGCAAGCGCTGGGAACATCCCCTCGCAACGCTGATGCCCCGGTCTGCCCTCAAAGCAGAGAGCAAAAGCTTGGGTCATTCCACCCACCTTCTGAAGAATGTGATTTTTGGCCTATCCAATAATTAAAACTCTTGAAGAGCAGGAGGAAGCTGGGCCTTCTCTTTGTGCTAGCGTTTGGTCGTACCAGCAACGAACACGAAGAGAGACGGCCCCGCTGTGCCCTGCCACTGCACCTCGCAGAGGAACCACTTGCCTGGGCCGACAGTCCCAGTGCCCAGCACTTTTGGGGGCTGTGCCCCTGTGCCGGCGGGGATGAACCGACGCTCCGTGTCCCCGAGGGGCCGCAGCAGCTCCCCCGTGTCCCCCCCCCCACGCCGTACTCCCAGGTAGGCCCGGGAGCAACGC